CAGGCTGGGCTGGCCCTGCACCTACTGGCTCACATGGCAGTCAAGATTGAGTGTGGCTCACACCAGGCTACATTGGGTTAAGGCCCAGCACTCTCGTGGTCTCAAGAGTGAATGCAGGACAGACTGGACCAGGTTGTGGCACTTGCCAGTTCATGTGAGAGCAAGGTCTGGGGGTGAGTTAGGTAGGGCAGGGCTCTTGCACCAACCAATAAGAGCTGGAATGGGTGCAGGCCAGTCCGGCAAGGCCACGGTAACCATTGGCGATTGCTGGGACTGGAGGTGGGCAATGTCAGGCTGGGCTGAGCACCTACTGAATGTATAAGATCTGGGACTAGGACCTGTTAGGCCACAGCTCCTGCTGATGAGCTCAAGAGCCAAGGCTTTGGGCAGCTCAGGTCAGGCTGGGCTATAACCATAGCATGGGTCTGGAACAGGCCAGTTCAGTCCTGGCAAGGTTTCTTGGCAGACTCCCTAACTAGACTGCTGGAATCAAACTCCAGCCACAGAAAAAATCACAAGATACATGGCTAGACTGAAGTACAGGTATCGGGACTGGACAGCCTCAGTTGCTGATACCCATACACCAGACGGCATGTTCCTGAGACATGACAGCAAGCTCATCTAGGCCAGAGAGGTCATCGAGTGTATCATCAGAAGACGGGAAGCAGAACAGGTCGGACAACTGTCCTGACCGACCTTTGCAGCAAGTTGCCTGGGTTTGTGGATGCACTAAAGTGGACTTGTCAACCAAGGGACCTTGGAAAGATACTCTCAACCATGCAGCAACTAAACCAACAATGTCTCAGAACTACCAAAACCACTCAGGTGGCACCCTCAGAACATTCTTCCCTACATTGGGGTCTCTAAGATGACATCAAGTGGTTGTCCCCCATCCCTTGATCCTGATGTAGTTTGGCACTAAGAATCGCCCTCCTTTTCTTCCTCCCGCACCCCACTATGCAGACACAGGAGAAAAATTTAAAATTTGCAAACATTTGTCCCACTCTCCTTCCACCATAGCTCACACTCCCCATCGTAATCAGTAGTCCACATGGGCACACATCCTTAACTATGTAAACGACATTAAAAATAAAATTAGATAAAAACATTCTAGTACAATTTTAAGAACAAAACATTTTGTCCTCATTAGCTCCATGAATATTTCTTTCTTTACCAAAAATTCTACCATTTATTATTTATTAAGAGTTAAAGTTAAGGGCCTGGTGTGACAGCCGAGTGGCACGAGTCCTAGCCTTGCATGCACCAGGATCCCATATGGGCACCGACTCTAATCCCGGCAGCCTCGTTTCCCATTCAGCTCCATGCTTCTTGCCTGGGAATGCCCAAAGCCTTGGGACCCTGCACCCATGTGGGAGACCCAGAAGAGACTCCAGGCTCTTGGCTTTGGAGCAGCTCAGCTCTAGCCATTGTGGGGAGTGAAGCATCGGACAAAAGATCCTCCTCTCTGTCCTCTCTTTTACGTATCTGCCTTTCCAATAAAATAAACTTTTTTAAAAAAGAGTTAAAGTAAAGCAAGTTAAAGTAGTATAAGGCCATCTGGTTCAGCAATTTATAATTCAAAAAATTATATGCTTCTCAACTCAACTAAAAACCTTACAAATGAATCCAGAGACTTAGGATACAACACAGAAAGTAAATACTATATTCTCTTCCATTTCACCCTGCTCTTTCTCAGCTGCCACCCACTCCCTTTTTTCCGTACCTACTGCTTCACCTCACAAACTCTGGCCACCTCCAAAACTCATTTCCAAGATTACTGATTCCCATCAAGGTATTTACCATGTATGCTGTGCTCATCTGACTACACTTCATTTCAACTGAGCGTTTCTGAAAGGCCTACCTTTAACCTCTGCAGTTCTGTGGCCTACAACACAGTTTGATTAAGCTAGTGACCTAAATCGTCTGTAGTACAATGTTTCCCAATAAATATTCCTCATGTTTTCTTTTGTACAAGTTATAAACTATGCCCAAGCAGAAATATTCTATGATCATCTAGTTCGATACCAATTTCCTTTATCTTTGCTTAATCCCTAATGGACACTAATTTTAAAATTAATGTTTAAGAATGTTAAGGATGCAACTCAAATTTTTTGTAAAGTGGGCAAAACACTTGGTTCCAGATGCAGCAGGCAGTTCAGCCCCAAGAGTCAAGCCAATAAAATACATTCTGAATTTAAACAGGCTTCAAATAAAAATGCGTATTACTAGATGATCAGGGGTTTACTTCCATTATGGAAAGATTTTTATCTTTGCATTGGAAAGCTCAATACTCAATTTTATTCTCATCTTACAGTGATAATCTTCACACCATTTCACCTCTACTTTGATAAATCTGTTTTTATTCTGACTTGCATTTTAATTGTTACCTAAAATTACATTTTATGTTGGTTGAAACATAAATCAGACATAAAAACACAATGGCTTATTAGTAAAACTCCTAACAGTAACTAAAGCCTAAGTAAACCATAAATAAACCATTTGCATTTTAAAAGGACAGTGCTGAAGAAAAAATACCAATGTTAACACCAATAAGCAGAGGCTATACAACTGAACCATAGTTAGTATTTACCAGTAATCTAATAGAAATACAACTGTTAACAGCATACATAAAGAAAACATTTTGTAAAAGCTCCTGGAACAGGCATCAGAGACCAGCAGTTAAACCACCCCTTGGGACACTGGCAATGCATACCAACAAAGTGCCTACACCTGAGTCCTGGCTGCTTTTAGAGAACGGATGCCGGAGAATACAAGCCCTGGGAGGCAGATGAGCTACTGAGTCCCTGACATTCCTGTGGAAGACCTGGACGGAGTTCTGGGCTTCTCATTTCAACCTGGTGGAGCCCCATCCATTGCAGGCATTTGGGCAATGAATCAGGGGAAAATGGAAAATCTTTCTTTTCACGCTCTCCTTCTCTGGCTATGCCTTTCAAATAGATAAAAATACACAAATTAAAGTTCAAAAGTTAACTTCTTATACTAGCACTGTGGTGCGATTAAGTCTCCACTTACAAACCCACCATTCCATACAGGCGCTGGTTCACATTCTGGACGTTCCACTTCAGATCCAGCTTCCTGGTAATGCCCCTTGGAAAGCAAGAGGATGACCCAAGTCCTTGGACGAGCCAAGACTTGGCGAATGCTCCTGGCTCCTGGCTCCTGCCTGCCCCAACTCTAACCACTGTGGCCAACTGAAGAGTGAACCAGTGAATGGAAGATTTTTCTCTCTCCTTTCCCTCTGTGACTCTGCCTTTCAAAAATACCTAATACCTAAAAAAAATTTCTAAAATTCAACCCTATTTATGAAGAAATCATTATATGGATAAATATAATTTGCAGTCACTGTTACAAACTAATAGACTACATCAAAAGTCTTCAAAGTTTTACTGAAGCACACCAAAAAATGGGAGCTATGAATTCCTATCCAACTGGAGAACATGGCTGCATTATAGGACGCAGCCTCTGCACAGCACACCATGCAGTAACACAGGTGCACTCGGAAACCACAGCACTTTTAATTGGTCGGGATGCTATTCTGCCAGCTCTGCCTTCAAACCAGAGATGGTCTCCCCCAAAAAAACCATTGAATTTATCTGGACAATAAGATGCTGGACTCTATGCATGGTACATGCTTGCAATGAAAGAATCTTGACTGAATTTGAACCGTAATACTGCAATAAGGTAGAGGAATCCACCATGGGGGGAGGGTACAGGGAGGGGTTGGGGAAACCCCAGAGCCTATGAAACTGTGTCACATAATGCAATGTAATTAAGAAAAAAAAAAGAAAAACAGAAAAAGAAACCACAGCAATTTTTTTTGTCTATCAAATAAGAGGTAGCACTTGATTCAGAACATCAAAAATGACATTTTACAGAAAGGGAACTATGGCATTATACAGCAAAATATGACTGTAAAATCTCAAATTCTGGGCCCGGCGCGGTGGCGCAAGTGGTTAAAAGTCCTCGCCTTGCACGCCCGGGATCCCATATGGGCGCCGGTTCTAATCCCGGCAGCCCCGCTTCCCTTCCAGCTCCCTGCTTGTGGCCTGGGAAAGCAGTCGAGGACAGCCCAAAGCTTTGGGAACCTGCACCCGCGTGGGAGACTCGGAAGAGGCTCCTGGCTTCGGATCGGCGTAGTATCGACCCGTTGCGCTCACTTGGGGAGTGAATCATCGGATGGAAGATCTTCCTCTCTGTCTCTCCTCTCTGTACATCCGCCTTTCCAATAACAAAATAATAAAAATAAATCTTTAAAAAAAAAAAAAAAAAAATCTCAAATTCTACAGCAATGTTTCATTTATCAGCAAAAAATATTGTCTCCCTGGGCCTGGCGGCGTGGCCTGGCAGCTAACATCCTCACCTTGAACACACCAGGATCCCATATGGGCACCGGTTCTAATCGTGGCAGCTCCACTTTTCATCCAGCTGCCTGCTTGTGGCCTGGGAAAGCAGTCCAGGACAACCCAAAGCCCTGGGACCCTGCACCTGTGTGGGATACCCGGAAGAAGTTCCTGGTTCCCAGCTTCGGATTGGCGCAGCACCGGCCATTGTGCTCACTTGGGGAGTGAATCATCGGATGGAAGATTTTCCTCCCTGTCTCTCTCCTCCTCTCTGTATATCTGACTTTGTAATAAAAATAAATCTTAAAAAAAAAAAAAAAACCATTGTCTCCCAGAAATGAAACCAGGGTAAGCTGACATACAGCTGCCATCAACATCAATTTCTTCTAAAATACTTGAGACGGCTTTATGATTTCCACATACAAACTAAAATTTGTTACAACTACTCAGTCCCAACACAAGAATAAAAATAGTCTGCAAGAACAACATGGCTTTTAATGTTAAAATGCAAATGATGTGATTTTTGTTGGTTCACAGTCTACCGAAACAGCCTACTGCGTGTGCAGTTCCATGAAAGCTTCACATTTGCTGCCATCACAGGTGGTCTATAGGTCTATGCAATGTCCTTGTCGTGTCAGAGGACATTTGTGTACCCCAGAAATAATTCTTAGAAACACCACGCCTCTGCCCTAGTGCCCAGGGTGGGCCTGGCATGCACATGCTCTGTGCACAAGTCTATCTTTTCATCACTTCTTCTTCACCTGGAGCCCAGAGCACAGGGGTAGATGCAGCAGTTGTTCTTCTGGAACCATCGAAGCAGGAAACTGCCCTGGGGCTCCTGGTGCTGCAGAGGGCCTCACTGGCAGAAACGTAAGCCGACTCTGGGAAGAAGGCATCTCGGTGATCTGCTAGAAACCCCAGGAAGAGATCGAAGAGCTTCAGTAAAGCCTTCAGGTTCTTCTCACGGAAACCCATCTTGGGAAGCATCGTGGGGAGCTTCACGAACAAGCGCAGCAAATGCTGGGCCCCGTACACGCAGCTGGGTGGGGGCGGCTCATCGGCCGGCGGGTAGTCCTCTGGCACCAGCCTCCAGGAGGGCATCTTCGCTGCATCAGTTCTCCCTTCACGGTCGGCAAAGCCAGCCTCCTGGCAGGGCAGCTCTCCAGGCCCCTTCTCGTCCAGGGCCAGCGGCCCCGCAGCCATGCCCGTGTCCTGCAGCAGCCGCTTGGGGAGCGGCGAGGCGCTGCTGTCCCTCGGCCTACCCAGCTGGCCGAGGTGGCGTCTGGACCTCCTCAGGGACCACAAGGCTTCAGGTCTGGCTTCCTCCGCTGTGGGCTGCGGTGTAGACGGGTTCAGCCACGGTGGATGGGGCGGAAGCTCCTCCTGGCTGAGGGTGTTGGCGGCCTTTTCCTTCGCTGCCAGGCAACACTTAGACGACCCTACCTTTTTATACTGAGCCTGTTCGTGTGGATAGAGCAGCACCAACGGGAGAGCGTGATCGAAGGCGATGCGCAGGCCATCGGCCATCTCCTTGCAGAGGCCCACAGGCCTGTCGCCCGGGCCAGGGCTGGCATCCGGGTGAGCGGGCGCGGCCAGGGGCCGGTGCCCGGGCCTCCCGTTGGCCTGGGCGGCTGCCTGGACCACAAAGTGCCGCACGTAGGATTCCAAAACGGCTATGACGTTGGGCTGGCACGGGAGGCTCACCAGCTGCTTCCTCCTGGTGACGCGGTAATAGTCCTCCTCGAGCTGCTCCCTGAGGACTTCGGGGATCTCCACGGTCACGCGTCTGTCCTCCATGTCGCAGCTCCGGCCTCACGCTCCTCCGTCACGGGTGTGTTCTCCCAGCTGTAATCAAAGGAGGCGCTTACAGGGCTGTCACCGTGTTCATCCTCGCTCTTCCGGCTTTCTCCGAGCGGCCGGGCTCACCCGCGGGACAGGCGCCCCACACACACACACGCACACACACACACACACACACACACGCCTCCTCGGCCACCCGGCACCCAGGCACCTCAGCGTCTGCGACACTTCCCGACCATCACGTGACAATCCAGGAGCGGACAGAGCTCAGGCGGGACGGGCTCAGGCTCCCGGCGCAGCTTCTGGGCCCAAGAGAACCCACCTCGGATTCCTTCACTACGCCCTGTCGCTGATCACGGCGGAGCCCACCGTGGGCGGGGCACGCATGGAGTGGGCGGGACACGCACGGAGGGTGCCACGCACAGGGAGGACACGCACGGCGTGGGTGGGACACGCACGAGGAGGGCACGCACAGGGAGGGCAGGGCACACGAGGGCACGCACGACATGCGCAGGACACGCACGGAGGGTTGCACGCACAGGGAGGGCACGCACGGCGTGGGTGGGACACGCACGGGGAGGGCACGCACGGCATGCGCAGGACACGCACGGAGGGTTGCACGCACAGGGAGGGCACGCACGGCGTGGGTGGGACACGCACGGGGAGGGCAGCACACACACCATGTGCACGGACCAAGGTTTGATTGTTTATATGAGAAGACGGAAATTTAGGCTTTGCCTGAGCTTCCTAAATTTTAAATGCTGACATAATTCATGGATTCAAATGTAACTTATCTATGAACTATTGTTAATTTATTGCTCTTGTATTTTTATCTGTGCGTGTATTTTTATCTGTGCGTATATTTTCAGACAACTCTGTAAAACAATTATTATCATGTAAAATCTTTTTTTTTTTGGCTGGTGAACAAATGGTGTCAGATAAAAGGACATGATTACATAGTTATATTTTAAAAAGCCCCACATATACATTCATGAATTCATTTGAGTTAGAAGATAAGGTATAATACAGTTCATTGACACATGCGTACCTAAAATACTTTTTGAAAAAAAATCTGAATGATAGCCATACAAAGCATAACATTATATAAAATAATGATTTTGTCTGCATCCTCTACCCAGTTTACTATTTGATTACACTTTAACACATTCTTCTAAATGGTGATCTGATCTGCTAGTATTCAAGGATAAAATTTAGAGAAAGTGCTTCTTCCCTACCCATTTGAGTAGAAAAATAAAAACAACTTACACCCAAATGGGAAGAAAGGAGAATGCATATAAACCAGACAGACTTGAGGATATAAACACTATTGATGACTGATTGAGGTATGTGACAGGGATTAATCGTGGTCCTAATTGTGAGATTTGCCTGTCCTGCCAAGGGGAAGACAAACATTTATTAGGTGCTCCTAATAAAAAAGACCATAAATAATTTAATATAACATACACTTTTAAAAAATATGTATTTTTTTATTGGAAAGTCAGATACAGAGAGACAGAGAGGAAAATCTGTCTGTTTATTACTCACCAAGTGGCCTCAATAGCTGGAACTGAGCTGATCTGAAGCCCGGAGCCCCTTCTGGGTCTCTCACACAGGTGCAGGATCCCAAGGCTTTGGTTCATCCTCGACTGCTTTCCCATTCCACAAGCAGGGAGCTGGATGGGAACCAGGGCCAACGGGATTAGAACTGAAGCCCATATGTGATCCTGGCCTGTGCAAGGCAAAGATTCTAGCTGCTAGGCTACTGCACTGGATTCAAAACCAGTATTTCTACTGTAAATGCTATGGCAACTGTTGCAATGTCCCTTATCTTGTTTGTGACCTTGCACAGTAATTTGAACTGTGCTCTGGCATCATTTATATTGTCCTCGGCCCTTAGTGGTGGTAGCCAACATACTGAGTGATTTCCACTAGAGCTATGCAGTATGTTCTCATTCCTTGTGGGGAGCAAATGGGACCAACAATTACTACTCTTTGGAGTTGATTTGTTAGTTCAGAAACTCAAATGCAAAAAGCATGACCTAGACTCAATTTCAGCATAGACATGATTCTTTATATTATCATGTAAAATCTTTTTAGTATATTTCACAAAAGGATTAAGACCAACATATAATAAAAGCACATGATACCCACTACAGGAATTTTTATAAGTCTTAACTTACAATCTATATTTTCTCACATTGCTTATCAAAATCAACATTTGCAATTAGACTACTGAAATGAAATTAGTGAAACAACTCCTATTTGTATTCCTGCTCTGTCACAGTTCTCAGTGTTTAACACTGCGATACTGATTATGTGGTACGGCTCCAGAGCCTAGCAGACACGCTAAGCTGCTATCACACAGAAAAAGACTTCATGACATGCTATGTTACTCATGAGCAACTGGATTCTAACAAACATGTGTTGGCTCTGAGTAATAAACAGATGTAAAGGGTCCGCCTCTACTTATTAAATCAATTCTCCATGAGAAAAATCCCAACACCTCTTGAATGAAGGATGATTCGGAAAAGGTGATATTCTATAAGCTGATAATTAACACCAGTAATATTTTAATGTGACAGTCACAGAGAAAGATTAAAACAGATAAGGTTAAGGTTAACATTACCAGAGAGAAAATAAAACTGAAAGAAAATATCAACTATCAAATTTCAGCTCACCTACAGATTTCTTACGCTTTTAACAGGTTAAGCCTCCTTCAATAAATCACTAAACATGGCAAACAGCAAAATGCCTGGGCTGCTTTCTCTGTGCTTAACAACCGTTTAGCAGCTACATCTGATCATAAGGCCTATTTAAGACAAGAAAGCTAAGGCACAGCCAGTTTAAGAGGTGGACCTGCAGCAGTAGCCTCGTGGCTGAAGTCCTCTTCTTGAATGTGCTGGGATCTCATAAGCGCACTGGTTCATGTCCCAGCTGCTCCACTTCCCATCCAGCTCCCTGCTTGTGGCCTGGGAAAGCAGAAGAGGACAGCCCAAAGCCTTGGGACCCTGCACCCGTGTGGGAGACCTGGAGGAGGCTGCAGACTCCTGGCTTCGAACTGGCTCATCTCCAGCCATTGATGCCACTTGAGGAGTGAGCCAGCAGATGAAGGATCTTTCTCTCCCTCTCCTCCTCTTTGTAAATCTGCCTTTCCAATTAAAAAAAAAATTTTTTGGAAAAAGATTTATTTACATTTCCTGCTGGTTCCCAGACCAAGAAGCTGCATGGGAAGTAGAGTAGCAATAACAACTATATTTAACAATTTCTGAGCTGTTAGCTTTAATAGGAAGTGTTCTAAATTCTCCTCCTGGATTCTCTTATAAGCACACAGTGGTAACCGGGTGCACCCCTGAGTTGGTTCACAAGAAAATGAAAGCACCCCTCTTGAATGCGGGCACCACAGGACAGAATAAGAGCATGCTGAGTCATGGCACCGGCCCCAGCTGGCAGGATTTACAAGTTCTCTCACAGATACATGAAGAACAGGCATCATACAATCCAATGGTATCTTAACATAGTGAAATAAAATCTATCTAAAGGTTTATGGACATTTTTGTCATGGAGCCATTTTAATAAATTTTCATCCTTCAAAGTTCTGCAGGAAAAGAGTATGGAAAGAACAATATTTTTTTTAACTTGCTTTATTTGGAAATCAGAGCTACAAGGAGAGGTAAGACAGAGAACAGAGAAATCTTCATCTGCTAATGGAAGCCCAAATGGCTACAAGAGTTAGGCCTGAGTCAAGCTTAGGCCAGGGTCAGGAGCCAGGAGCTTCATCCAGGTCGGCCACGTGGGTACAGGGGTCCAAGGACCGCTTTCCCAGGTGTATCAGCAGGGAAAGTGCACAGGAAGTGCAGTAGGCAGGACTCAAACAGGTGCCAGTATGATACAGTGTCACGGGTGGCAGCTTAATCCACTGTGCCACAGTGCTGGCCTCAGAAATAACATTTTTTAAAATATTCACTTTTATCAAGTTTCAAGATTCACATCTTTTTAAAATTCTGGATATTTTAACCCAAACAAAATTCAGGATTCAAACCTATTGATATGGCTCACTTAACTCAATATTTAACTTACAGAATATATGAAAATCAAGCATTTCCAATGATTAAATAATTTAATGATTGGAGGCTTTTACCATCTCCTGTCTTCAGAAATACTTTTGTGTAAAAGACAGGAGGAAAGCTTCAAATGAGATCAAGTCCTAGTATTTCCATTTTAAATCTTTCCAGAATGCAAGTGCCGAGCCAGTGTTGTGGCACAGTGCGTTAAGCCACTGCTAGCAATGCCTGCCTCCTGTATATGAGCACCAGGTCCAGTTCTGTTGCTCCACTTCTGATCCAGCTCCCCACTACTGCACCTGACAAAGCACCAAAAGATGGCATAAATGATCAAGCCCCTGACACCCTTGTGGGAGGCCTTGGATGCCATTAGAGCCTCTTGGCTCCAGCCTAGCTCAGCACCACAGCTACTTGGGAAGTGAGCACACCAGTGGAAGATCTCGCTCTCTTTTTCCCCTCTCCTCCCCTCTGTTCTTCCAAGTCCCTCTCTATAGCTCTGCTTTTCAAAAGTAGTTATTCAGGATCTGGCACATAAAGGTTTACTGACAATTCTGTGAACATTCATTTTTTCCTTTTTGATAACTGCATTTCAATTTTGAAACCTGACTATAAATTATTTCAACTTTTTTCTTTTTAAATTTTAAAATTTTATTTTTATTGGAAAAATCAGATCACAAAGAGAAGCAGATACAGAAAGATCTTCTGTCTACTACTGATTCACTTCCCAAGTGACCGCAATGGCCAGAGCTGATATGAAGCCAGGAGCCAGGAGCTTCTTCCTGGTCTCCCACACAGGTGCAGGGTCCCAAGGCTTTGGGCCGTCCTCTACTGCTTTCCCAGGCCACAAGCAGGGAGCTGGATGGGAAGTGGAGCGGCTGAGGCATGAACTGGTGCCCATATGGTATCCCAGTGCATGCAAGGCAAGGACTTTAACCA